ATTTGTCAGGGACACCGTACCACAAGTCATATAGGCTTTCACATAAAACATGTTGTCTGTTTTTGTTGTTGTTTTACTTGACATTGTAAGAAAACGAGGTTGAATGTAAAGCAAGCCGTTGAATCCGTACAAAAGTCCATAAACACAATGTAATATCTATCAGATTAACGGGACAGACAAATTATTTTCACACATTATGGATATTTTAGCAACTATATTTTTAATCAACCCCGTGGTCGTGCAATTTGCCGCTATGCTTAATTATTTATGTTTCATACATTATGTTACGTATATTGGCCGCGATTTCTTATTTTATAAAAAATGCCAAATAAAAGGTAGACGATATTCATAAAAGATGTACGGTATTTGTACGATACCTGAACTTCGAGCGGTATGGATCGGTAATTCACGGATACATGGAACTACCGATTTCCCTCATTGATGCCTCAACAGGGAGCGGAGCGTTATCGATAATTGACAGGTTACGCGAATAGCAGATAAAAATGGTACATGTACCGTTTTAAAACGTTTAAAAACACATTTTTTGGACTAACTGCTTCAAAAATTAAATCACGAATGTGTTCAGAAAAGGTTGATAAATCTACTAAGCAAAAAATTTCATTTTAGGTATTTTCAGTGATAAATGTAATTGACTCCGTTGTCACCTTAAAGAATTAACTATGTTTTTTAAACTATTTATTTACTTTTTTGAATCTCTACTTGTAATAATGTGGGTCGATATGTCTTTTTTAGGTGAAAATTTATGCACGCAGCTGTTCTTTGTAGATGTGTGTGCCAAATTAGGTCTATATTTCACACGCTTGTTATGAATTGAGTTATTTTCAGAATAAAATATAATCCCCTCATGTACCGATTTTTTTATTTGGCCTCTTCAGTTGTCATTTCACAAACTTTTATCTATGTCAATTTTCGTTATGATGAAAATTGAAAGTTCGTCAGCCGGTAACATAGAATCTAGTCAGTCTGTATGTACATGTAGGCTGGTCTGACCTGTGCTGGTAACAAAGGTTTCAAATTTTTGATTCCAGTAAAGGGAAAAGTTAAGTCTAAGCATACTGGCAACAGTCAAACCCTCCTATACAACCAGTGAAAACAAAGTTCAGCCGGTACATCACATTGTTTGCACTGTTTGACTAATTTTAAAATTTTCCATAAAACGCCTATAAGATTTTCAAGTCCATTTTAGATATTTAGCGTGGTAACAGTCAGACTTTGTCTGGAAAGATAAATTCCCACGGTAAACTGCAAAAAAAAAATTGTTTTTTTTTTTCAAATTGTTTTATCACTTATTCTATATTTATTTATTATATAATTATATCTTATCAGTTTCTTATTTTTCAGATACTAATATCAATAATGATTATATGTTTTTTAAAAGATAAATTTAAGTCAACATTGATAATAATTCATGAAATATAACAATTACTTCATCAATTTATATGTTAGGTGACGTTTTGTTGCATATTAAGGACGAAATTAATTTTTCAACTGACTGTGAAGACCAGCAACTTCTTAACCTAACAGCAAGCCCTGATGTCCCTGGAGAAACTGTTGTTTTATTAGCTGTCACGTTATCTAAGTATTGTGTAAGTAGACAATGACATTTCACAATTTAATGATATATTAAACGACTATCAGCTAAAGTGTTGCAGTTAATAGAGCTAAAAAAGATTCGTGGGGACATTTATATTCGTGTATCTATGAAGCTGACTAAGAGAATTTCGTATGTTGAACGTGAATTCACGAAGTGAAAATTGTAAATGCTCAAAGTTGAAATCGGGAATCCACGATAATGAAATTTTCCTACAAACTATTTGAATGATTTTTGACATCATTTCTCTCTGTCTACAAACATCAATTCAGCTTTTCATCATAATAAACATTTATTATTACAAATTCAATAGCCCAAGGGTAGCAGATTCTGGTTTCTGTTAATAAATCTGATTTGGCATTTTAGATAAAAAGAGTAATATTTGAAGTCACAAGAACAATAATAGAAAAGTGTAAATCTTGCGCAAGATAACCTAATAGTATGTTGTTTTTACAGAAAAGTAGGATTTCTTGTGCTTTCGAATGCACCAAGTCACAGGTAAGTGCCAGAATATCATTAAATGACAAGTTCTGTATATTTTACCGTCACGTCTTTGGTTTACTCTATAGGAATATGAGTAGCACGTTTAAAGAATGGCAAAATCGTTTTACTCCATATTCATAAAAGAAGCAGCAGTCATAATCATTAAGTACACGAAATTGTAATTTAGGTAGAAATGTGCTCGTAACATGAATTGTTATTTGACGCACATTCAGCATATGCGTCACGTAATTTTCCTAAAGTCTTTATAATAAAAACGAGTATCTTGATTATTTGTAGAAGTAAAATACGTTTGTTCTTTCTTTTTTATATCATTTTCATTTTATTTCTTTACTTTGTTGAGTTATGCAGTACATGGTTATCGTGTCAATATTAACTGCAACATACTTCGGGAGTACCACTTTTGGTTCAAGTGTTGTTCAAGTGTTTTGTGTTTGTATACGATATGGAATTGTCAGATACATTTCTTTTGACTGACAGAAACAATTCTCATTCAAGCGCCAGTAAATTTGATACAAGAATACAATTTACAATTTGAAGATCAATATTACACAGCAAATGTCACATGGGTAAGTAAATAACTACTGAAAATTCTTATAAAATTGAAAGCAATAAAATCATTAAGACATGATGTTGAATAAATGATTTTTGGTTATTCTTTTTCTATGTATGGTGGATACATTTACAAGCAAATTGTGCAATATCATTTTAATAAACTACGTTTAACGGTTTCAGACTGTAACTGGTAGGACATACTTTTAAATTAAAACAGAACAAATAAAGTATTTATGTGTAGGTGATGGTTTTTTGCTTACGTGAACCGCTAAATATTTTTTTAATTAGGTCGAACTGAGGTATGCTTTGTATTACCATGCAAACAAATATTTCATGTTAAAATTTAATAATTATTTTGTACAGTAGAAAAAAAAACAATAATCTTTGTTGGAATAGGCATATTTTCAGTATAATAGATACAAACATGCATTTTCATTTAAGACTTTACTTTGCTTTTAATCATTCCAGATGTCAGAAGCAAATACAAATGTTATTTTAGATAAAGACCTAATGATAAAAGTTGCAAATTGCTCCAATGCGTTGATGTTTCCATCTTATACTAGGAGATACCGACTGGATCAAGTATGTTAAGTATCTTTAGTGATTTTCATTTTCGGTATCTTCTTTTATTATTCTCCTTCGTTTGTACATAATCACCATCATCATAATCATAAATACTATTTCCGTTCTCTGCCTAACACTTCCTGTTAAATCTACTACTTCTTTCATTCTTATCATTTTGTTGATGTGCCAAAAAGAAACTTATTAAATGGTTTCCTTCTTTTAAGTGTTTAAGCAAGTTTCAAAAACAACACCTTTTTCAAAATAAAAAAGTTTTGAGTTAAAGCAATGAGTTAAACCCTAAATCTGCTAACAGTAACAGATGCTACCCATGCAACAAGTGCGACAAAGATCAAATGGCACGTACATTGCTACAGTATTCTTTGAAACTTCTCTAATTGTGATGAATATTTATTTCATGATTGAAAGATACTTATTCAATAGAGAGAAATAAGAATCCCTAAAGAATGTCTAACACGGCAAATTGACAATGTTGTAGGCTCGGTTTGATTGAGCCTGTTCATCGACGGTACTGTAAAGTGCAAACTACCGTCCACGCCCCCTAGCATCGGCTTAAGCAGAATTCACCATTTAACATGAACTGCTAAAATTTAGAATTTTGAAACATCCGCAGATAAACAAGTTCATTTAAAGTCTTTGGCATTTGGTAAACATTATTTTTTTATTTACAGAATGCAAGCATTATGCCATTTACGTGGAGGGCAGAAACGAGTGGAAACAGTTTATTTGTGATCGAAGTTATAAAAAGCAAGATCTCAGTGTTCAATTTGAAAGTTGTGGCAATTTTACAAAATCACATAGGTCGTGTAGGTTATGTTAGAAATATATGTTTTAATATCATTATGAACATATAATACTTCTAATTCAAATCTTATGTAGCATTTTTAGTTTGGCATGTTTAGAAAAAACGCTTATTTAATAATACCCATTCTTAAATTATAGTTTAGTTTCACAGAACGCGTCAGGTGTTCATATGTGCATTATCTCAGGTAAGATATATTACCGAATAATCAATCAAAGAGCTTCCCCAGAGGTTTGCTTATATGAAATAGATGGAGAGGTTGCGTATAAAATATTGTCGAAGGAGTATTTCATACAATTTGAAGGACTGTATAAAATGTATACATGTTTGACAAAAATAAGTATGTATGGGAGGCATACGATAATGTGAAAATAATCAAATGTTTTAAGAAACGTTCCAGTATTAACTTACTGCATTTAGTGTACTTTTATCAATGTGAGCAAATAAAGGTTTAACCGAGGTCAAATGTCTTTAAAAAGTCTTATAATTACGTTTTATCGTTTGAGTTAAATACGTTCCGCTGATATAGAATCATTGAACCTTATTTTGTTTCAGAGAATAAAAGAGACAGCCACAGCTACTATAATTGTTTCTGTAATAGACATTTTTGGTACGTATTATGATACAATTGAAAATCATAGCTTCCTTTGAACACCATCCAAACAAATTTCAGTGACGATTGATATGGAAATGAATGCAATTAACGAAATCGTGGAAAATAATGATTTCACTTGAACAAATCTAGATGCAAGAAATTTTTTATTGTTGTTTCTAAAAAGGAAACAATCGGGCCCGTTGTTCACCTATTTTATTATTAAACAGTCTGTTTTTGGTTCTAAATATGTTGTTACTTATTATTGTTTTGATCACATCATCTAACAATTTTTAAAAATATTAAAGTTACAGGTAATTTCCTTCTGGATAAGAATAAACCGGCTATGTTCCTTGTTTCAGATAAATGTTTTATAAATCCTTGTAAGAATAATGGTACGTGTGTATACTTGTCATTTGGAGAGTACAGGTGTGATTGTATGGTTGGCTGGTCCGGAGAACATTGTGTACAAAGTAAGAATTGCATTATAAATTATTCATGATAAGGGTGCCCATGTCAAAAGATAGTTCATCTCGAACCACTTGCCCATTACCGCTGCCTGGGACTAGCTTGCTTTATGTCGATGGTTCTACTCAGGTGCTCAATTGTGCCTTAGATAATATTGTTTAAATCGGAAAGGATATAATGCTTACAATTATCTCTTAAGATGTTATAAAGTCGTAAAAACCTTATCGAGAAAAAAGACGTACATGTATGAGATATTTTTAATTTAAATTCCGGACTTATGTATTCCGGTATTTAGTATTGAAATTGTGTTATTTTGTCTATTATAGTAAAACATTTTTAACACAACAGTGATATTTGTTCTATGTTTATTTTTCCTTTTCTTTGATTCTTTTTGTACGTGTACTATGACCTAAATTATTTTACATTTATTTTGTAATTCACAGCCAATAGTGTGCTAGAACCAAATGATTGCAGGAAAATAATTTCAATAGTAGGTGGAACAGTTGGTGCTGTTTTTGGGCTTCAACTTGCTGTGCTTGCAATTTTCATCATATTACGAAAATACAAAAAAGTCAAAGTGCAAAGGTTGAAAAAATAATTTATTTTTGTCATAAAAATTAATTTACGCTGAGTGTAATTTATAAATTAATTGCATTCATGGACAATAGAATACTATCTGACTACAGCGCTAGCGCAGTAAGGTGAATTGTACGATTTATTCTGAGTTAATTGTCTATTATTATATAAATTTTCTTCTTTTCGCAATATTTTCTTCTAGTGTGATGATGCTTTATTTACTTTCAAGCAGAATGAAAACATGTACATTCAATTTGATTTTTTTAGACTTGATATGATCCTAGAATAAGAAAAATCTAGAGTCACCGATTTCGTTTAAGAGATATTTGCCGTTGATAGGAACTGTTCTAACTTAAGAAAAGATAACCGCAATCCAGATTAGCAAGGCATTATTGTTTCAGCTTTAAATGTCAGGATTGTGCATCATTACTCATTATACAGGTTGTGATAAAAAGTATTTGTATGAAAAGAATTTTAACTTGTAATGAATGATTAATAATAAACTTTTTTATTCAGTCGAGCAGATTCCGACGCAGAGCTATGAATTGACTGCTGATGGCGCAGCACCAGGAATTGGCTTGACCAAAAAATTAATTAATCATGAGAGAACTAGGAACTGACTGAACGTAGAACCACAATTTGATTACTTATGTCATAAACCTAGGAAATGACATAATGATAGATTTTCGTATCTTTCTTAATTGCCGTTATCATGGAGTGCTCAAACATAAGGTGGCGATCGCTAATCGCCTATTAAGAGTCAACCAGTAACTTTGTCATTAGTTCGAATGCAAAGCTGCGTTTTTCATCTTTGATTACAAATTAGTTTCACTTTTCATGGCTCAGAGCCAGTATTGACTTCTCATGACACAGTACAAATATATTCCAGGCTATAAAAACTGATACAAGTAAGATTTAAACAATAAATGACATAATAGATAATATAACTGCACAGTGTTCTTTTAATTACAAAAAATATGTTTGGAATTCTTGTACATTAATGTTTTTTGTTTGTCTAGCAAGGTACTTATCCAAAGAAATTTTTCCAATGTTATGAACATTACATGGATAAAATAATAACTTTACTTTCAAATGTTATATTGTTTATATTCACCTCTGCAACCTAATATAATTTATCTTGTAAAAGTGCAAATATTCAATATAATCTTTCATTTCAATTTGAAGGTATACTTGTAGGAACAGTTAATGGAATATTGTCAATAAAGGTTGCTCACTTCGATTTATTTTTTCAGTGTAATGAAAAAAACGACTTATACACATTTATCATATTGAAAATGCGAGAAACTTAAATAAGGTTAAATTGTCGAGTTCCACCAATTTTCCCTGTACAGCTGTAGATGATGTGTACAATAATTGCTGTCCATAATGTACATAGTGACAACAAATCTCATCCTGTCGACCTATTACCTTATAAAACGAGAACAAAGATCAAAAAGGCAAAGGCAACGTCCACAGGATGCATCCCCCGACACACCTAAGCAATGCACTTAACCAAAACCTGGAGTAAACACAAGGGCGGCGAAAGGATAGGGACACGTAATGTGTGAAATAATCATAAAGGTCACCCTATCCTTATCATTGTATCTTATAATATATGATGAAAAGATTACATAATTCAACAGATATCTATAATTTATATTTTATTTATATATAGTTTATGATCAGTCAGCATCCCCATCATTTAGAATATAAAGAAATTCAAAACATTCAAACATTTAGTTATTTCTTGTTCACATGCATAGTTTGTGAAACGTAGGTTAGTTTTATAGATTTGAAAACAATGCACATGACATCAATGCTTGTATCCAGAGAGAATGGAAACAATCTTGAAATCTTTTAATTTTCTGCCACAATAATGTTCAAAATGATTTTAGTAGACGTTCACAAAGTAATTCCTTATAAATTTGAGACTGTAATGAAGTATGCACTGTTAGTTTTTGTCAGATGCAAATTAGAACAAACTGTTTGTTGAAGTACAGCTCCAATGCAGGTCTTTGCCTTCACTCCAATACAAGAGTAATGAAGATACAACTGCCCTGAAATTTTAAAACGTAATGTGAATTCGATTCTACAGTTCAGATAAGCGTGAAACATATTATTAATTAAAACTAAATAATCTGTTTTAGAGTTTCACATCATTTTACTAACACAATTTAATAAGAAAGCATTTAGGTAATCTTACTTCCCCGAACGTTGTGATTATTTGCATAATGAGTATTTAAATTATTCATTTTCTGTCAAAACATTCTGCATGAATAATATCTTCATGTTTGAATAATTCGCTGATTAAAATGAAGTAATCTGCACTTTTAAAACTGTCCAGTTCTTAATAAAATATACGAGTAAAAACCCATACGCAATTTTGATAATATAATAGTTATTATTCTATGACTGAAGTGTTTTGATAAAAAAAAGTTGAGCAAAATGTATCCACTTAATGTTAATACAAATGTGGAACTAAATCAGTACAGTAACTGTAGAATATTTAACATCAATTGTCATCAAAACACTTTAAAACTACAACTTAATAAAAGCCCAATAACAAGAGGGTCGTACATGCATTATTGATTCTCATATATGTTTTAAAATCCTAGTTATAAAAAAATTAATGCATTCATTATTGAATGTAAATGATGACTTTTAAGCAAGAAATACATGGAAAAATGAATATAGGCTTTGTTTTGAATATGTAAGGAATCTTATTACTTTTTAGTATTTGAATATGAATAATTAATAACCCAAAACATAAGTTTTTATTTTCTTAAACATTGAATTTCATTTAATACTTTGAGAATTTACCCACAAATGAACTGTATTACATATGTTGTGACAGATGAGATATTGTAAACGAATTTCACCTTCTTTGAATATACGTAATGTTTTACTGTGATACTCAAAAGTTTTTTTTTAAGTCAAGTCAATCAATCTGTGATGAAATTTACTGATTGAATTGTTTTCTCAAATTAATATGATAATGTTAACCTATGTAATATATATGAAATGACATACGTTATTCAAATGTCGAAACAAGCTTGATTGTTAATAAAAGTTATCATATTTATCCTGTTTACGCTACAATAACAAATTATTCTATTAGGAAAAGAAATAAAACATTTACTTTGTGGCTGCTTCCTCGCGATATATGGTATTTTAGACAATTTGTTATCATGTCACTACCTTATACACTTGATCCTCGGTAATATTCTATGCACATATGTAACTATTTTAGGAAAATGACAAAAACTAAGCAAAACTGGGGCAAAACTAATCTTTAGATACTCTTTTTTTTTGTAAGTAAGAAAAATCTTGTATACATTTTTCTATAAATATATCTGATTTTCATATATGATTTTTATAAATATGACAGTCCTTTTCTCATATATAATTTGACATTATTGAAAATACAAACAAACATTTGAAAGAAAACAAAGGATTTGTGCATAGTTATGTAATGTATTCATTTATTCTGGACAAAAAGACATTCATTAACAATCTAGCTTTCAACATCATGCTATTACCATCTGTAATCATCTTATTTGTTTTAAGAAATATGTTTTCGGTAACTCATTTCAATAAATAATATTGTCAGTTATCTGTTTTCTCGATGTTAAATTTGATTTCGATATTCTAAAAAAATTAGACTAGATTGACTACAGTTTGTTTAACGAGGTCAATATCTTCGCACTTCGTCCTAATGCATCTTTGTCCGAATATCGATACCATATTAATGCTTCTAGACGGAATATCTATATAAACTTCTACATTTTTGACAATGATACTTGCATTGAACGCAGCATATATGCTTTAAAGTACCTCGCAAATACGTTTGTTTTGAAAATCATTTGCAAAAGAAAATATAACTATCACTGATCGCAAAAAGGAAATTTAGAAAGTTTAGTATAATTAAAGCATTAAAAAATTGCTAACAAGTTATTCCAAAAATTTAAATACAAATAAAACGAAGCAAGAAGAATTAATAGCGACATTTTACTTTCTATCCATTTGAGTTGTTTTATTGTATTGGCGTTAAACCGAAACATTGTAAGTAGTGAACGATTTTAACTGTATTTGTTTATGAATTAAAAAACTGATATTCTTACACTTTTCTTATAATTTCATATCTTTTATATTGAATGAGTAATTTATGTCAGTAGATATTATGTAAACTAGGAGAAATAACTACGTGTTCCGATGTCACATGTTTCTACAAGTAGTATTCTCCCTTGTTTTGGTAGTGGTAAAATATAACAACTTTAGTACGCCTAAAGACCAAATGCACGATTTTTTCAGACATATCATTAATTTTGAACAATCCATAAGATTCTAAGTATGAAGGACATGTTAGAAGTGAAGAATTGTATCCAGTTATTTTTTTGCATTTTTCGTAGATTGTTTCTTTTCTTTACACTTGGTGTAAAGATGTTTTCTTTTATAAATTTTTCAAAGTACAGTTATTACGTTTCAAAATCCGCCCGCCTTTTTTGCTTATTCAATTTTATTACATGTTTGCCAGTGGAAAGTGAAATTATATTTGATGTTTATCAAAGTGAAATTATATCCGATAATTTACACTGTATCTGGACAATATTCGAATGCGGGTGAAAATAATATAATTTCATAATTAAATTGAATTATCAACAGGAATAAATTCCGTCGTATGTAAATTTTGCTTATGTAGAAAAGCAAGTAAATAACTGCATACATTTTGTTACAAATGTATCAAAAATTTGATAATTTTTACCAAACTAAATTTCAACATTGGTACTGTCATAATGTGATGACGTCATGAAGATGAACGCATGACGTTACGCGACAAAACAAGTAAAACTGACTTAAAATCGCAAAAAATAAGAAATAAATGGAAACAGTTTATTTGTTTTGCATGTTTGATTAAAATATATTTCACTCGTGAACCCCAGCTATTTTATTTTCACTCGTGGCTAAGCCACTCGTGAACATTTTGGATCTGGTGACCACTCAGTGAATTATATTTCGATCTAACATGCAAAACTAACAAAAACCCTCTTTGTAATGTTTTTATTCTATGTGATTTCAAAATAACGTTGTGAGATAAAGACATTTGAGTTTTATAATTTAATTACATTTTAAGAGATTTTTTAATAATTCTTATGGTTTTCGATATTAAAGACTATATGCAAAATGATATTTTGATGTTTTTACACAGCAAATGAAAACGACGCCACACGGAGAACGTTTAGAGGCAACAATGTAAAAAAGAGTTATACAGGTGTTCCTTAATTGATAGGAAATGCATTTTGATTTTGTAAAAGCGGTAAAATCGTGAAAATAATTATGTCAACCTACAATATTTTGGATGTCTTATTATAATTGATATATAGAAATGATCTTGAAGATACACATTGTATTATCTACATAAATTAACAAATTTATTTATAAGACTAATTGATTTCTTTACTTAAAAAATCATTTAAGGCGTGATTTCACATTAAATTTGGATCGAAATCTAGAAGTTTAAATCTTGGTCATTAAAAAAAAGACATACAGCCATTATCTGACTCTACTACTTGTATTTGTACCGTGTATGTTTCACCTTATTTATTTCACGGCGTCTCAACGCCGTGATATTGTGATGGGTAGTTTTCGGTAGCATGGGCAAAAGTCACGTGACAAAATGCCTTTCGATTTCTACAGCCGACATTTTATTGTTTTTACGCAATCATTGTACAGCCCATTTCCGTGAAAAGTTACATAGAAACAGTTTTTTTTCAAAACCATATAGAATCTAAACAGTATTTTTATCAACACACGAAATATCAGCGTTTTAAATTAACACATTTCCGGACATCCTTTCCACATGCTTGAGAAACTCGCCTTGAATGGATTATGTATGGTGGCTGATTAACGCCATCCAAATATTTTCGCGTCTTCGCCTCAAAATGCGAAAATGCGAAAACACGAAGGGACGACATATTTTGACTAATGTGTTCTAATGTCGGATCTATGTCTCTCTCGGAGTGAATCTTTTCACGTGTAAAATGTCTTTGAACATTACATTCCTAAGTTTCTATATTTGCAATTAAGAACTTAAATTGTCTTCTTTTTTTAGCTCACCAGAGCCGAAGGCTCAGGGTGAGCTATTAGTAACAAAGGGGGATACTCCGGCGTCCGTCGTCCGTCGTCATGCGTCAACAATCATCTTCTTCTCTGA